AAGCTGTCTAAAAATGCTAAGCGTGCCAACATACTTTTAACATTCACAACTGTATCACACACACAGTGTGACTTTCTGAAGGCATGCTCCACTCCTTTTTTTAACTGTAGCCCCTACTTAACAGGTAGGGTTAAGTAGGGGCTTATTTTAATGAGTTAAAAAGCTGAAACCTCAGTTAACAATTAAAGAAACTAGGAAGAAGATTAGCTTTTGTTTGATTGATTAAATTTATTGAATTGACATTAACTGTTCTCATATAATATAATGGTTATTATTATTATTTTTTAATTTAAATTCATTGATGCACTTCGTAATAGATATAATGACATTATTCCATTTTTAATGCCATTTCTTAAAGTTATGTTTGTTCCTTTTGGTGCTATCCCCGGCTGCTGTGCTAAACCAGGGAAATGATCATTAATCGTGGCTGGTTTTACGTTAGGTTAGTCCACTATCTTATATAAACAGTGTCGAAATAAGAGGGCATGTCATGTGTGAAATGTATAGAACCATCATGGGGATGTCAAAGTTTATCTGCCACTAATATGCTTGTGAGCCCAAAAGGGAGCCAGAGTATAAAGCTGTTAAGAATGACTCTGCTGACTCCAGGATGCCAGCTTGTGATTCGATGGTGGCCTCTCATTGGTATGTGTGACTTACCAAACAGGAACTGATATGCACTAATGAGAACATCTTAAACCCGTTCACATTTTCCACTAACATGCATTCTGTATGTGAATGCACCGGAGACTAATTGAGAATGCATTCAGATCTAATCGCTAAGGTGTGGTCCTAAAGTGGTCTGCACTTGCTTAAAGGTCTGAATAACCTGGGCCCTAAGATTTCATTCTGGGTACACCTGTTGTTCTGGTGCAATCTAAGGATAGCAGAAAAGTTTCCACTGGAATGTTTTCTTGCTTTTCAGGTTCCCGGCCCCTGAAACGAGGCATCAAAATTGGGCACGACTTGTAGCTTTGAAATGATGCAACAGTAATTTGGTTGGAACACTCTCGTAAAAGGATTGGTTTAGGATAAAAGTCGTACTTTACTGGAGTATTGAAAACATTTTTTATCAAAAGATTGTTGATCTGCTTTATTTGCAGGTTGCCTATATCCTGTAAGGTTTGTTTTGAATGCTGCTGGGGCTGACTGTGCCCACTTCGGTCACTGCCACACACAATGATTTGCATGAATCAAATACACAGAACTTGTGTACAGAGAGAAGCTGTGTGCAAAACAACTGGGGGCTCGCCCAACAGAACTTTGTCGGTTTAAATCTGAATCTTAATTAAAGTTGAAACTAATTAATTCCGTGCTCCTTTACTTTTCTTTACTTTTCTTCTTTACCAGTTTCCTAACCGTATGTTGTTTTGCAATTTTCCAGTTTTTCGGGAGAAATAATAATCACAAAAAACTACTGTTTTCACAAACAGTTGCTGAATAATGTTAAATTTGGCAAAATGCATTTCTCCTTTGAGCTTTATGTACCTACACCGAGTTTAAGAGAGGGTTTGGATAGGTTTATTTGTATTGATCTGCGATCTCTGATGCAAATTCTAGTTAGTAAAATGTGATGTTTTAAAATGGGCTGACACATTTTGCTGAAAGATTTTGCTGAAACATTAGTAAATGTCCACATGTGACATCTGCTTCTTGTGTACACCTGCACGCAGAGCAGATTCAGAATGGATGCATGTTGGTGCAGCCTACACCTATAACTCCACAGAGCCCTGCAGTCTTGGGGGGAAAAAAAAGATACTGATACTAATCTACAGCAGGTGTCCTTCAGCTAAAAATGATAAGAACTGGAAATACTGCCAGCGCATATGTATATGCTTTCAAACTCTGTAGAAGAGCCAAACATCCAAACGATCTGCCAAGCAGCTTCTTTATATGGCTCTGTTTGAACATTAACTTCTTCCAGTTAAAAATGGCTTGACATATTCCAAAAGCTAACAGCAACAACAAAGGAGATGTCTTTGGCTAATTTTATATGTTAAAAGAAAAAAATTTGTGCTTCCTTTGGCAAGTGGCAATTCAAAAGAATGTCTTCCTTAACACCATAGTAACTGGAAAAGGTGGGTTTAAATGCACCAATGGCAATTTCCAGAGATAAAGTGTAAACTCCTAACTTTGATTTGTGTTCTCAAGCTCATCTTACACTTGTCTTTTTCACCTGGCAAGCGAGTTTTTCTGTTTGAGTGGTGTGTGTGTAAGGCTGAAGCCACGTGTGTATTTCCTAGTCAACCTAATGCCTTGAAGTATGACAGCAGGTTGTATTCTTTTTTCTTTTGAGCATCTGATTATGAAGAATTACTTAATAAAAATAAACGCGTCATCTATCAGCAGAACTCCACATATATATTACATATTATACACACTTTTCTAGTCACTCTTCCTGCGAGTTTAACTCTGTAGTTTGTTCTTGCTTGCACTCCCTTCTCTCTGTCCCTCTCCTTTCTCCCACATACCTCCCACACAAGCTAGCATGCTTTATGTGTTTCTGCACGTTTGGCTCCTGCAAACATACAACAGGTTTCCTTAAAGCACAGATCAGCATGATCAACCGTGACAAGCCACAGTCACGAGCATGAATGCTCTACATGTCTGACATCTTTGAGCGGTAACGGGGGGAATCCAGACTTTTATTATTATCAAGCATAAATTGCTGTCCAGTTGCCTGCACATGCCAGCCAGAGCCTCTGTGTCTTTGCAAAAACAATGAGCGGAAATATGCAAAGAGCAAGACAAACACTATTCAAATACATCAACCAGATTCATTTAAACAAATTTCTCGCAAAGGAGTGCAAGGATGTTGGCTTTGGGTGGGGTCATTCTTCAATTTAGACAAAAATTAACATAAAAAAACAGACTACTGTATGACTGGCATACAACAACAAAAAAGTAAAAACCCTGAGGTATAATCCTTTTTGAGTTGTGTTTTAAAGCAGAAGTAAAATGGCCCCGTGAACTCTCTCTGGATACGCGTGAAAAACACTTCTACCCACGACCAAATGAACACACAAATACAAACACATACACACACTTCATACCCAAACAGGTTTGAGCTTTGTATTTGAAATCCATCCAAATGCAGGCAAAACCTGTGTGGGACCGGCAAATTCTGCTGTTTTCCTTTTTTTCTGTGTGTGTGTGTGTCTCTCTAATTTATACACACACACAAGCATATGCACACGCCTAGAGTATGCCAAACATGCTTTGAAAAAAAAGCATGTTTTAAAAATGACTCGGGCAGAATATCCATGGCCAGCACAGAAGCCCCCAGAAACAGGCACGGACACATTCAGAGGCAAAACGAGGTGCACAACAAGGGGTTCCGGAAACCAATTTGGATTCCAATAATGCTGAAATTTCCGATTAATATGATGATGATGATTCTTCCTCGAAAGAGGATTTCTAGCACTGTGATCTTTTCATTTCAGTGTTACTAATAGAAGACTCTTAAAATTGTTTTAGTTTTTCCATAATAATCTATTTCTTCTTCTTTAGCCATGTCATTGTTATTTCAAAATATTCATCTTTCACATCAAACTCATGCTCTAAACAGAGTCCCCTCCATCCTCTCATTGGCTGTCAGTAGGCTTCCTCAGTGCTTTAACTTCTTTGCACATCAAAACCTATTTATTAACACATTTGATGCCGGTAAGATCACCTACTATAGGTGACAAGCTTCATTCATATCACATGAGCAAAGCATGAATTCAAAGTTTATAGGACAGGGAAATTACATTTCATTTTTTATAATATCTTATCTATTAGGAGTAGGTAGGTAACACAGTTTCTAAAAAACAAAAACAAAGAAGTAGAGAATTTAAACCTGATTTGCTCATAGAATCAAGGGAGGATTATACGAATACAATGGGAAGGATAAAAAAGTAAACTGAAAAGGATGAACCAAAATGACAAAGTTAAATAGGCAGAGAGGAAAGAGTTTAGAAAAATAGAAGAATATTAAATATATCATTCTAACAAAAAGAACAAAAAAATTCAACATCAAAGATTACAATTTTTTATATATTCCAAATGGATTTGTGAACCAGGATTAGAATAAGTGGAAATATCAAAGTAAATCAATAAATAGATTTGCAAATGTATTTTCTTTTTTAACTGGTTGATTTTTTATAGCACTGATAAGACACTCAAAGTGTTAGAACACAGAGAGCGTTTTAGATTAGAGTTAAAATGTAATTTAGAAAATAAAGTGTTCAGTTGCTTTCTTCTCAATCCCTCAAACCCAACATGAAATATTCAGCTGATACTGCCACCTTAAAATAAGAAACATTCAAACATGTATACAGCCACCAATAATCCTACAGTTTCCTGTTCCACACTGGCATCGTTGTAGATCAAACCATACTCTAGAGACCATTTCCCCCACAATATACCACATCCCAAAAGAAAGGAACAACAGCTACTCAGTAGGAAACAGAACCCTAGCATAACATTCAAATTTTCCAGCTTCGATCATCTGACGAGAATGGACAACCAGGCTCGAGAAGAAAAAAAGGCTTGTATGTCAAGCACAGGCTCCCAAAAACATGGAGCACAAATGTTTGTCTCAATCCATAGCTAGTTTCTGTGCGATATGATAGGAACTGCAAAACCATAAAGGGATATCGTTTTAACTAAGCCTAGCCAAGGCCCCTGGGGAAGGACTCGGAAGGATTCTGTGGTACTAAAATCATTGTCCGTGGTGGAAATCTCCCCAGGCCTCCATCCTACTGCTCAGTGTTTGAGGCTAAGTCAAGTGTTTACCATCGCCGTCAGCACGCAGCAAAAGGTGCCATGAAGTTATTTGTTAGCTATCACTGTCCTTGTACAAAGGCTGCCGATAAACAAACTTTCCAAAGCACAACTAATGTGTCACAAATATAATTCATCGGCAAATGGTTTCTTATCATTGAAACAAGCTGGCTTAATCACAAGCAGCGACAGGCCCACAAACAAGTACATTTTCTGATTTTAGGGCTACTTACTGCCTTCTGTTGGGATCTCAGGGGGTTGAGAAGATGTTCTCCCTTTTCTGTATCACTGGAAATATCCTCCTCTGACTCCTCCCAAGAGGAAGAGAAGCCAGCTGACGAGGCGGAGGAGGAGGATAGCTTCCTGAGAGACCGAGTGGAGGAGTTAGGAAGAGGACTGGAACTGGGGCTAGGAGAGCAGGACAGTCCATGGTCTGAACCAGGGCCTCCTGTAGTTTGAAGTGTACTCTCCAAACCATGGTCAGTTACTATGACCGCGGGGATGGAGGGAGAGTGATTGCAGGCGTGATCATCAATGTCCAGCCCACAGGGAATCAGAGGTAAAGCAGTACTTTCAGAGTTGAGGCCTGGCCTGTTTCCCTCAGGCTGGAGCAGCATTTCAGGACCCAACTGGTCCTCTTCTTTATCCATCATTTTTCTCTCTGTCGGTTCTTTCTTGTCACTTGACTTGTCGTCCACTTTGCCTCCATCTTTTCCTTCCCCATTTTCTCTCATTACTTGTCCTTCTTTTACCTTTACATCTGTTGCTGCATCTTTTTCTGATGTATGGAGGAAGCCCCAACCTGACAGTCTGTCAGGAGTTTGTGCTGCTGTTTCTGAGCGGCAGTCATTGTCATCAGTCAGTATCGGGTCCTCCGTGTTTGCTTTAGTAGAGCTGCCCTCCCAGTCATCTCTGTTCCTCCCTCCTCTCCTTTCTCCTTCTACCTTTACGTCCTCCACTTCTCTGCCATTTGGGATTACAGAAGAAACTTTAGTCTCTGCTGGGTGGGTCATTGGGCTTTCAAGAGCAGTGTTTCCTTGGCTGGGATGAGATGGGGTTTGACTGGTTGCACGTCTGGAGGCCCGGGGGCTACGCTGGAGTTCACTACCAAGTACCTGGGCACGAATCCCAGAAATGTGCGCCTCGAAAATGCCCACTTTTCCTCTGACCTGAAAAAGACAAGAGATTGAGGGTCTAATTGAAGCGGCAGTTTGGTTACAGTTGGGTCTAACTGTAGAGGAGTTTACTTTGATGTTTTTTTCATATTCACAGGTGTTTGTACACCAGCAGAACTCTAACTGATGTGAGAGACAAACTGTCAAGGAAAGACAACCAAGAAATGACGATATTTCAGTTAATCCTGTCTCAGACTCACCGGTAACATATTTGTTATGTAGGTATATGAAGAGTTTCATACTGAATACAGTGAGGTAAAATATGCACAATTAGCTGGATTGGATGTGTTTGCAAACATTTTTTTTTAATCTAATGAACATGAAGATTTTTTCTTCAAGAAGACATGACCATATAAAAGCATTGCAAATTTTCCACACATGAAAATAAGAAAAAATAATTCTAAATACTTCAGAAATTGATTTTTTCAGCGTTCCTTCCACAAAAAACAACAGATAAACAGCTGAGAACTGTGAGAGACCAAACACGTGTGCTTCACCATTCTCTCCATTTGCTCTGTTCAGCTCTCCAAGTCTGAGTAAACGTTGCATCACCTACAGTATATCAGAGCGAGAGCTTCTCATTCTGACATTGGTAAAGTCAATTCCTGAACCCTGATGTTTGCCTTGTCAAGCGCAGAAAGACGGGTGGATGAGAAAGCAGGTGAAGTCACCTCAACGTTCTGCAGCTCTCTGTGGATCTGCAGCAGCTGCGCCTGGCGTCTCCTATCCTCTCGCCTCTCTCCTCCAGTCTCCGCCTGCCCGTCGCCTCCCCCGCTCTCTTCACCACTCAGGCGTCTGACGCGCTGGCCCACATTGATCCCTAGGCGCTCGGGACTTCGTGGAGTCGGGGAACTGGGCCGATGCGTAGGGCTGGGGCAGAGCAAGGACGAGGTGGGGAAAACGAACGTTTGTCCCTGAGATCGGGGACTTGTCTAAGAGAAGAAACACCAGGTAAAAATGACTTCTTCACATCAAGCGCTCAGGGACCACAGGCTTAACTTCAATGGAGAATCACTGCAATAACTGGAGGAACAAATAATACATGCGTTTTATGTTTCTCTGTGTTCTTTTAACTCTTTCATACTTTTTGTAATAAAGACACTTGGCAGTGGCCTCTGAAGCCACAAGTGGAAACAAAAGTGTTGCAGAAGAGCTTCAAAAGCAGCGAAACAGAGGTAGAGGAGAGTTTTACTGCCGGTACACTAACAAAGGAATGCCAGCGACACAAAAAACCCGCTGCTTTCAAGTTAGTGACAGATATCTATAACTGATTGGTATTCTAGGAGATTAATTTAAGAGAATAAATCAGCGTGTTCAGGCTAAGCGCTCTGGCGGTGGGTGTGGTGAACAGCGTACCGTGGGGCTGGTTGGGCTGTAGAGACCTCCACCCAGTAAGGGACAGTAGGTGCTACGATCTGGAACCGGTAGCACAGGCCGGGCAACTGGGCTGGTTCTTGTTCCAGAGGTGGTGTTAGAAGAACCTGGCTGGGTATGAAACTGATTACTGCTGCAAAGAGGAAAGAGATTGTTGGTGTGTGAACACAAAAATAGGAAAAAAGCTCAACCTGTCAGACATGTGTGAAAAACCTGAACCTGTTTTATACATGACTGCTTTACAGTGACTTGAGCATAAATGAGTGTCACCTCTTTGTCGTGGACAGGATATAAAAAGTAATCTTGCCAGTCCGGTTTGACATCTTGTCAAAAACCACCGTGACCAAACAAGTTTAAAGTATGTATTCCCGTTAAAAAAAACAAACAGCCCTTCCTCAGCAATTAAAAGGCAAGGGACTAATGTACCTGTTCATGACTCCAAGGCCGTTCAGGTTCAAGGCAGAGGCTGCCATCCCCGCGGCCAGGCCCGGGGCTTTGAGTGACACATCTGACAGTCTCCCCTGAAACTGCAGGGAGGTCCACAGAACAGCTTTCGGGGTTTCCTGTCTGTCCAGACAATGGCTGCAGGGGGTCTGTGTCCACCACTGACTAACACAAAAACACGGGAGGAATTAACATTACACAAGACTGCCGGCAGCTTAACGAAAACTTAGGAAAGTCTAAAAATGGAAAACACCATTTCCACAGAATAAACCAAATAAACACCTTTTTGTCATGGAAAAATAGATAAAGTCAGATGTGCCTTTCCTTAGCCAGTCCAGGCTGAGTCAAGGACGAAAAAAGACCATTCCTGCAGTCCTACAAGTATTAACATGAACTACATTTAATTACAATGTTAGAAAACAGATAAGACAGAGAAAAAGCAGACGGGGAGGGACAATAAAAAGTGCAAAGACATGAGAGGGTAAAACATTTTGCTAACAAGAGATACCCAGTCTTTTTTCTGATTTGCACCAGATAGCCTTTGAAACGACTGACAGAAACACACACTTAAACGTGTAAAACCTGATGAAACACGATGCTAAATTTCTCAACAATGTGTGAGAAACGCATGCTCAATGCCCAAAAGTCAGCCTGATAAAACTTGCACCTGTGCCATAAGACCTGTTAATGTCAAAAGTAGGCTAAAAAACAAACAGCCTTTTCATTTATGAATGCCATTAGCTTTCTGTTTCAGCTGTTCATCAGAGCAAATGGCTTATTATATTGTGTGCAAATAGCCCTCTGATATGTTCTTGGCTCCTGGAAAAACACAGATTAGTGGAGCTGGGGCGGGAAGATTTCAATTTTCAGCACACATTAGATGGGCACTCAAATGAAGTCTGCGGCTAATTTTACATACGTGTATGGATGAGCTCAAATGGATAATAGATCATGTTGCTTCATGTTTTGCTGCGAAATAATCCATGCAAATAAGCTTTGCTGGGCAACAGCGACTGATGACGGTCAGCAGCAAAAAATGCACGCTTTGCAGGCCATTCTTTGGCTCCATCACACTCAGGAACCTAATTCACTTGAAGCACTAAAATGTCAGCAATGCCCACATGTTCAGACACATGAGTGATTACGAAGAGTGGGCTGACTTTCAGTCAGCTTTGAGAGCAAGACAGTCATTCCTCCTGTGCAGAACATTGGACAATCAGCCTTGAAAAAGACACAAGTTTATAAAAAAAAACATTCTGACATTTTCATTGGTAATCATCTTAAAAGCAGAACTGGAGAAGAATTGAATGTAAAAATACTCGACTTGTGTGCCGCTCTTTACTGAAGCCCTAAGGTCTACAGATCAAGTGCTTTTAGAGTTTTTTACAGTCCAATTCTTCGGGTCACTGAAGCACATCAGTATTCGTGTCATGTGCTGTGCTGCTGGACACCGCCTTGATATGTGTTCTGATTCCAAAGAAGTTCATCAGCTCATGAAGCGCGGGGGTAAACATGGGATTTCCTCGCCGGGAGTGACGCAGAAAGAGACAGAAAATGTCCTGAATGGCCTGTCCTTCCCTAAAGCGGGTGACTAAGAACCCGGCGCCGCTTTGTCCTTTTCCACACTTTATAATCACTTTTCTCTGTTTGTGGGATGGCAACATCCACCAATGTTCTGTGAAAAACAACACAAAAAGCCCGCAAAAAAAGGAGGGAAAGAGGGAAATTGGCTGGCTGAGCCGGGTGGAAAGAGAGGTGTTTACGGGCTGTTTTGGCTCGGTGGTCCATTCTAAATCTTTCATGCAGAAGCAGCAGAACTGCTTTCTCTGAAGAAGCACACAGAGAGTAATGAAGCAGCACTGGGCACCGGGACCCATTTTCGCACTGTGTGCTACTACACAAGCTTAGCTGTAACCCCTCTTTGCTCTACATGACAGCACTCGGTACTCTTGTGCTCCCTAAAAGGTCAGACTCTCCAACGAGGACCAACATACATGCAGTTAAATGAAAAAAAAAAGAAAGAACTGACGTTTGAGGGTGCTTCATACAAATTATAGGGCGCCTTATGCATGACACAAGTCTAAAAAAAGGGAAGTATAGTTTATGCACAAAAAAACGTGAGAAGTTTGAATATCTATGACAACACATTTTCGTCACATTAGTCTTTCGTGTGGGAATGAACCTCTCTCCCCACTCCCATTAAAGGTTCTCCAGCAGAAGGGCAGCTGACAATATAACCATTACTTGGAACTAGAGAAACAAACACCACCACCCCCCGGTTCCTGTAAACCGTCATCTTTTAAGACTACTATCAAACAAACTAAGTAACTACACAAACTAATCAAAACTGGAAGGACTGCTGTTTTCTCTGCCCTGCCTTTGGTGCACTTAAAGCTCTTCACAGTGTTGTCTGTGCTTCAGCACGGCCTCATTTGTCAGACTGAGTGGGACTGCATGCACATTCACGCCGTCCACTTGCCTACACAAGTGGGCAGTAGCCTACAGACAATTTGCTAAAGAGAAATGCCATGAAGGATTTTTTAGAGGACTCCATGGAATTTTACAAGCAGGTATAATGAGGCTGTAAACTCCATCTGTGAGGGGATATATTTCAGGTAATACAGTACGGTGGCGCTTTCCATGCCTCTTAAAACCTACTACAATAATGTACCTGCGGGTATGATTCTGTAGCTGTGGGACTTGATATGCATCGATCAGCGTGAGAAATAATGGCAAATTGGATTTTCGCATTATTTGCCAGCTAATATCACATGGGCATATTTGCCTAAATAGATAAGCCAGCAGATTTGCAATTTCATCAAATTTCCAGGAGCAACTATAAACAAATAAATATTACAAGAGACCAAATCATATATTCCAAAAAAGTCAACTGTGTCCACGTCACTCCCTGACTATCAGATGGCCTACTCCAGTTCGCATCCCACAGTTCAGGGTTTAAGGACCGAACAAGGGCCTTGAGATAAAGCCATACACAATCCATCAGGCCAGTCAGTTCTGCTATCACTTATGTTGAAGGTAATTACCATTTGCGAGTCCGCTATTTTCCAAAAAGCTTATTTGCCCTTTAAATTTATTAAATCAAATGTCCTTCATTAATGATATTAAACTAAGTATAACTCATTTAGAAACAATCCCATAGCTTTTGCAATAATAATAATAATAATCCTATAATAAATAAACTGATGGAGACTACAGACAGTTCTGGATTTTGACAAAAAATGAGGCAAGATCAAAAGCCAACAAACGCCAAATCTTTTGTTTTGGCTTAAAAAAAACTCACATGCCCATAAAGTTGAATTCAATTAGGTTTATGTCGTGTTTCTGTTAAATTCAAACGGCTGAGATAAGGAATTAAGAAGGCAGAAAAGACACTATATGGTTTCATTTTTGGATTCATGAGTACAACCTACTCTAAGTTATGGCAGGAAATTAGGATAGAGAACAGTTTACTTTTTCCAAGCAGATGATCATCACAAACTAAACTAACAATAACTATCACAACACTCGGTACACTTGAGGGGAATCTCACAAAAGAAACTGTTCCTATATGGTAATATTCGTACAAGGACTCGTTCACTAATAAATTCCTCTCATAGTTTTACTTCTCCACTCACTTAAAGGATGTGTCGTCCTATTTTCCTCACAACTTTTAGCGCAGCAGCGTTTTACTCCGTAAGCGTGGTGCGTTTAGGGTGTAACACGCATCCTCCAGCAGCGTTAATCTGTTCAAACAAACGGACCGGCGTCGTCTTACCTCAGTCCCGTCCCCCCCAAGCCTTCTCTGGGACACTTTTATGAGCCTGAGTAATGTCAGGACATCAACGGCTAGCTATTTCCCGAGGTCGACTCCTCTCCGGCTCCGCTGTTACGAAGGTTTGAGCCGTCGTGCACCAACTTATTATTCTCTTGTTCGGTTCAAGGTTTCTGTCACCGGCGAACTTTGTTCGACGGAGCCGCCGGTTTTCTTTTTTTTTTCTTTTCTCGCCGCTTCACATTTTTCTCAAAAACAACAAGACAAAACGTAAATAAAAACCCTTCTGCAGAGTAAAACGAAACGATATCAGAGTGCCCCAATCTTCTACAAGCATGTAATTGTGCCTGGGATAACTTCCACGTCTCCGGGACGGTCAGGAGGAGCCTCTCAGAGCCTGCCCTGGGGATGGATGATTTTCGGGCAGATGTCTGTTGACATGCGTTGCTCGACACCTTTGTGTTAGTGGTAAAGCGTAGTGTGTGTGTGTGTGTGTGTGTGTGTGTGTGTGTCAGAGAGGGAGAGAGAGTGTCTCTGAAGCCGGAAGCTACAACACAGCCTCTCTCCAGCACCCTCCCTCTGACGGACTCGGTTCATTGGAAGGATACAAAAACTGAAAAACTGAGAGCAAACTGAGCTACTCTGCAAGACTCTGTCCGCACGTGCAGTCTGGGGGGAGCCCTCACGCACGTGCACTCGAGCGTGCACAGACGCAAATAAAGGCAGTAAACACCAGACAGAATGAAAAGTGACATATATCTTTAAATGCAACTGCAGTCTTCCCAATTTCTGGGCCATTTAGGATCTTTTTTTCCCGGCTCGGAGGAGCTAATTTTGATAATGTTTGATGTGAAACCCTGTCTTTTTTCTTTCTAAAAGTTTAGTAGTATGGTGGGTGGCTTTATATGTTATTCTT